AATTTAGAATTAATTTCCTCAAGGAAATATTTATTTCTATACAATTTTCTTAACTTTTTTAATTATTCTAATTTATTGGTTTCATCATTTGTTTCAGCTACAATATTTTATTTGGGAATTAAAATTAACCTCGATTTATTACTGTCTCTACATTCATTCTCATTTTCATTTTCATTTTCATCCTTGTCCTCATCTTCATTCTCACTTTCATCTTTGCTTTCATCTTCAAACAATAATATAGCACAGTTTTCATTCTCAGGAATTTCAATTAATTCACTAACATTTTCTGAATTGCATGAAATATTTTTTTTTTTAAAAAATGTGTAATTTTAAAATTTATCCCCTAAATAATTTACCCAAAATGGAACCGACATAAAAATATTCGAAATATTTATATTTAATTTTACCCATTTTCTAGCATAACTATTTTTTCTTTACCCTACGAAAGTCATGACCTTTTAAACCATATATATTAATTTACCCAAAATTTTCTCTGACCTTTCAATTTTTTTACATATTGATTTACCCAAAATAATGTAACCCATCTATGTAGTTTCCGGGGTCCTATATGTGGTCAATTATGTTTGTGTTTATACTAATGTGTAACACCCCAACCATATATCCGTCTATAACGAACTGATGATCATATATCACATGACATTGATTATTTTCTATTTAATTTAGTATTAATTTTATATTTGGTTTAATATCAATATTCAGTATTTAGTAATTTATGTTTTAATATTAAAATTTAAAATCTAGTAATTTTTTTATGTTTTAAATTAATATTTAAAATTAGTAATTTTTTTATGTTTCAATAATGAATTTGATTTAGGAATATTAATTAATATATTAACATTAATATTTAATATTTAGTAATTGCATGTTTAAAAATCTTATATAAAGTTTAATTTTTTACTTTGAGTTGCTTTTCTAAATCCAAAACAAAATTCTTTCACAAATTGTCTAATCACATAAACAAACTAACAAATAAATTAAAAATAAATTAATCTCAATAATGTCTTCTTTAAATAAAAGAACATCATTAACTGCTTTACAGAAAAAAGAATTATGTTTAGCAAAACACAGCCACATACCCTACAAATGTAGATTTGTCAAATACTTTTAACATAGGTAAAAGTACTGTTAGTGAAATTTTAAAAGATAAAAAAAATGGCTTGAAATTGATGAAGCTAACAAAAGGAAAAGAAGAAACATGATGTATAATGATATTGATCAAGCATTGGCTATTTGGGTTGAGCAATTACTTAATGCAAATATAGATCTTAGTGGCGAAATATTAAAAGAAAAGGGAAAGGTTTTTGTTGAGCTCCTTAATAAAAATGATTTTAAAGCATCAGGTGGTTGGTTAACTGGCTTTAAAGAAAGGCATAACATTAAAGAATATGTAAAACATGGTGAAGCTGGTAGTGTTCACATTTTGGAATTACCATCATATAGAGAACAAATAAAAAATATTACAAGTCAATACCAATTATCTGATATTTTCAATGCAGATGAAACAAGCTTATTTTGGCAATTGGAGCCTTCTAGAATGTTGTCCACAGGGCCAGTAACTGAAAGAAAAAAATCAAAAGAAAGGATTACTGTAATGCTAACTTGTAATGCTGATGGAACAGAAAAATTAAAACCCCTTTTAATCCACAAATATCAAAATCCAAAAGCAATTAGAAACATTGATAAAAATACCTTGAAAGTGAAATATTATTGGAATATTAAAGCATGGATGCAAACTTCCATCTTTCATTATCTAAAAGATTTAAATAGTGAAAATGAAAAAAAAAAAATAGAACCATTTTATTATTATTAGATAATGCTCCTACTCATTCTGTTTCCAAATCAATAAATTTAACTAATGTAAAAGTTCACTTTTTACCACCAAATACAACTGCATTTTTACAACCATATGATGCTGGAATAATCAACAGCTTTAAAGTAATTTAATTTAATTTTTACTAAACATCAATATTTTTTATTTTTTATAATAGTTTCTAATATCTAGTTTTTAAATTTTATAGGCAAATTATAAAAAATTGTTTTTGCAAAAAAAAATTAGATATTACAAAGAAGAAAGAAATGGCAAACAACCTGAGAAAATTACAATCAAAGATGCAATTAAATTTACAGCAAAAGCTTGGAAAAGAGTTACTAGTCAAACTATAATTAACTGTTAGAAAAAAACTGGTATTTTACCTGACATTGATAATAATTCCAATGAAACTGAAAATACAACATTATTGAATGTAGAGGAAGTTAATGATTTACAGAATTTAATTGATAAACTTGCCCCCACTAATCCTATATCTGCATCTGAATATATCACAATTGATGATACTGAAAAGGATCACAAAATTGATATAGATGAACAAGAAATAGTTTTAATGATTACTCCAAATGAGCAAAATCAAGAAGAAGAAGTCATTGAAGAATTTCCACTTGTTTCAAATAAAGAAGTTTTATTAGCAATAGAAAAATTAAACAAATACATTGACCAACAATCTGAAAAGTTGCAACTAAGTGATAATGAAATTAAACCATTAAAAAGCCTTAAAAGAAAAATTAAAAAAATAGAATTTGATTCAAATCAACAATCAACATTAGATACCTTTTTTAACTAATTTGTTTATTTTTTTAAATAAAGTCTATCACGTGATTATTTACAAAATTTCCTATAACGAACTTTTTTAGCCCAGCCCAAGAGTTCGAGTGTACTTTAATTAATTAATAACTTTATAAACGTTATTATGATAATCCAATCAAACAAAACAAAGCAAAATAAAAGTATATTTTGTTATGACAAATTTATTTTAAATTGGCAATTAATTAGGTAACATAGAAATAATAGAGAAGTGAAAAAAGAAAAAAAATAATGTTTTTTATAATAAAATAAATATCAAAGGAAAGAAAACCATCCAGCATGTAAAAATTAAAAAAAACCAATTTGTTTTTTTATTTAATTAACTAATTAAAAAAAAATCTATTAAAAATTTTAGAGGAAAAAGTTTTTAAGTATATCTCTATATTTAAATTAATATTAAATATATATGTATGTAAATATGTTATATTTCAACATCATCGTCACCATCATGGTGAAGTGTAACTAAGAATTGAACAAGTGAGTATAATAAACAAAATACCTTTTGCAAATATTTATTAAAAAAATTTTAATAACAAGAAAGATTCATCTTGTATTAATGATATTTACCACTGTTAAACTCTTCAAATGGGTTATCACCATTAATTTCCACAATAATTTTTTCACCCTCCATATCTAAACTGACACTTTCTTGTATATTCCTAAAGTTAACAGCATCTGTTCCATTGCTTAGCTGAGGAATAATTGGTGGTTTAGCATGTCTTAATAAAGCCCACTGAGTATTCTTAAAAAATTGATGAGCTTTAACATCTGATGCACCAGCTTTTGATCCAAGTCGTTTGTGTTCATCCTTACAAAGCAACTTACGGATCAAGGATTTACAAAGACTAATATTACCAACATTAATCAATAAAAACTTTAAAAATTTTGCTGCAAATATAATAATAATAATAATTTTAATTTAAATGTTATTTATTTGTTACCTAGATACTTGAACACCACCAATTTCGGGAAAATATACTTCATTTCTTAATATATTTGAAAATGTTGTATTTCTATTTTGGCCCTTGAAAGGTGTAAATCCATACTGTCATAAAAATAATTACCAGAATTAAATAGAAATTCCTTTTTTTCAATCAATAAAATTGATCAATCAACTAAATATTATAACTAACCAGCATCTCATATATTAAAATTCCTAATGTCCACCAATCAACAGCACTTGTATGACCACAACCCTTAATCACTGATAATAAAAAGAAATAAGAATTTTGATCAATTTTTATGCAAAATCCTTCCCAAAATTACCTACCTTCTGGTGCAATATATTCTATGATACAATAATAAATTACAATTGAATTTAATAAAAAAAAAATATGAATAATTGGATTTTTAATTTTAGAAGTAATCCTTTGGAAAAAAAAGATTTCAAACCTTCTGTTCCAACAAATGAATTTGTTCTAAGATTAGCTATACATGATTTTGTATCTATTGTAGGAGGCTTTTTTATAATCATAAATAAACCATATACATTAAATAGTTAAAATACTAGTAGTGATATCACAATTGTATATTTATAGCTTTTTATTTATAACATACTAAATTCCCTGGGCCATTTTTTACAATTCCTGGCATATTTGCTGGATGTGATTGTTTCGATAAGTCAAAATCTTTTTTAATTAAATAAGAAAACCATATATTTATTATTGACTAATATGGAAAAAAATCTGACATTGTTATAGTCATATGTTACCTGATAACATAATGTGTCCTGATTGATGCAATAATATATCTTTAAAAAATTTATTATAAATATTAATATATTATTGTTTATTAAATATTTTTTATAATGTATATTTAATTCTGTGCTTACTTTCAGGCTTCAAATCTCTATAAATAAATCCCATCAAATGTAAATATTCTAATGCAGCAATAACCTCTGCAGCATAAAATTTTGCATCCTCTTCTGAAAGACATTTTCCTGGTCTCATTTGCAAAGCTAAATTCCACAATTTATTTTTTTACTCTTTTTTTAAAAATTTTTTTTAAAAAATTAACAAAAAATATTTACCTCTGAAGAATTCACCTCCCATGCAATATTCCATACATAAATACAAATAATCTTCACTTTGAAAAGAGTGATACAATGTAACAATGAAAGGGTGATTTGATGTAGCCAAAATTTCCTAGTAAGTAATTAAATTTGTTAAAAAATAAATGTTTGTGAACACATGTGTGTGAACATGTATATAAACAAACCTGTTCAGCTAGAGCACGCTTAATTTTGTTACGCTTAATCATTTCTTTTTTTGATAATACTATTTAATTATAATTAAGCATATAATTATCATTTATTTAAAGCAGCATAAATTCAAGGAAAATCTATTTTTTTTTACCTTTCATGGCAAAAAGTTTACTGGTTTTTTTTTCTTTCACCAGGTAAACTTTTCCAACATCACCCTTTCCCAATAATTTAATTTTTTGAAAACTATTTGGTCCAACTTCAACTCTTTTAACCTTTATAGAATTTGAAGAGTAAGTACGCTTAAAAGTTCCTGAACGTTTCATCTCTGATAATGGTATATTATTATGAGATTCAGTGCTATTAGAGTTCTCTGGTACTGATAGTTTTACATTATTGTAATCATTTACACCAATTTTTTGATTTTGTTGCTGACTATTATTAAAATTTTCATTTACAGATTTTGTATTTGGCGCAGAAGCAACTCTTCTTAATTTTTGATTATTGTAAGAGTCTTTTAAAAACCAAGGTCCAATAGTTTTACTTTTTTCAGTAGTTTTTAAAGGACTATTCTGAATAGTAACATTACCACTTGAACTATTTAAAATACTTTTTTCACTTCCATTTGAAATAATTGATGATAGTGATGCTGAAGAGCCCAATTCTCTATTTTTATTCGAAGAGCTATTTGCATTTTCACCATTTATTTGATCAATTGAAGGCTCTTTTTTATGATTAGCATTATTTAGTTTAAATAACGATTTTAATTTTGAGGGTAAGTGCGCAATATAAGAAGGTGCAGGACTTGCAATGACAGAAGAAATGTTATTTGAGGAATGATTTGTGATTGAATAAGATGGTATATCTGTTAACATGGAATCTGAATCTAAAGGAATGGAAGAAAATGTTAGGTGATCTTCTAAGTCACTAGAAGAACTAGTAAATAAATCTGAGGTGCTATGGTATGGTTTTACTTTTCCAAAACTTCCGAGATGAAGTTCACTAGTATTGTTTGTTAATTGAGAAGAAGTTTGGGTTAGAACAGAAGTGTCCATATTCTAACATACACATACACATATATTAGAAGAAAAAATTTAGAATTTCGTAAATAAAAGTGGAATTAGTCGTTTCACAAAAATAAATTACTGGCAGATCATTCAAAAAAAAATTTCAATCTACACGGGTTAAACTCAATGAGTCGGTCGTTTATTTGTGTGTTCTAGTACTAGTACTAGTACAAATAACGTTCTTATTGGTAACACAGCTTAAACTAATTAATTAAATACATGGTAATTGGAAATTATTCATTTATTTCTTTTAATTTCCCTTTTTTTATTTTTCATTTAGATAATAATAATTTAAAATGGATTTAATTAATAATCATAATATAGAAACATCAAATTTATTGATAGAAAATTTTCTTAGTGCACATGAAAATGGTACTTCATCATTATTGTCAACAACATCTTTTTCTTCAAGAAAATCATCATTGTCATTATCTTTTTTGTCTTTATCGTCATCTTCAATTACTACAAATTTACCATTTGAGATTTTTGGAAATATATTTAGATATTTAAATAAAAATGATTTAAAAACATTACATTCATCAGTGTTAGTTAATAGATATTGGTGTCAAAATACAATTCCTTATTTATGGAGCTCACCATTTTCTAATAGAAGAAAAATTCATAAGATCATACCATTATATATGACATTTTTAAGTGATGATAGATTAGATGAATTATATCAGAAAGGCGTTCCAAAAATACCAAAAAACATTTGTTTATTTGATTATCCTCTATTATTACAAAATCTTGATATACAATTATTATCTTGGGCAATTTATAATTGGTTAAAGTTTGAAATCTTAAAAATAAAAAAAGGAAAAATTCAAGATCATAAAAAAATTATTTATGGTGATGATGATGATGATGATGCTGAAATTTATTATTATGATAATAATAATAGAAATGAGAATTATGGATTTTTGGACGTTAAAATGTTTATTAAATTATTTTCAGAATTATGTAGAATATTTTTAATAAAATCTACAAAAATATTTAAACTTAGTTTGAATACAAAAAATATACCAGCACAAATCCCTTTTTCGTTAATTAAAGAATTCATCAATCATTTAACAGAAATCATTAATAATAATCTTAATTATAACAATAATTGTTTATTGAATTTACAAACATTAATGATTGATGAATTATATATCAAACAAAATTTATTAAAATCGATTTCAATAAAATCACAGAAAATCACTAATTTGATAATTTCAGATGAAACTTTTGAGAGTGAATTAAAATTTTTAATTTCTAGACAAAGAAACTTAAACAAAATTATAGCAAGAAATTGCAATTTTGAAAAATCAATATTCAAATCATTAATGGATTATTGTAATAATAGTTTGAGTGTGTTGGAATTTTACAATTTTAGATTTGAGCCAATGTCTTTAGATTTATTAAGACAATGTAAAAATTTAAAGATTTTAAAACTTGAATTCGTTAAATATAATGGTAGTAAGGAATTATATAGATTATTAGGTCAAATTAAATTCTTAAAATTGAAAAATCTTAGCTTAAAATTAATTGATTATGAAACATCATACGATGCACAATATAATTTTGGTCCTACAATAGAAGAATTTTATGAGATTTTCAAAACTAATGGCCTTAATTTGAATATCCTAAAATTAGAAATAAACTTTGAGAAATATTCAGAAGCTTTAAGTATTATAGGAAAAAATTGTAAAAATTTAAAAGAAGTGGAAGTAATTGGAAATTATGATGTTAAGGATTTGCTGATATTTTTAAATCAACCTTTAAATCTTAAAAAATTAAGTTTAGGTAGTAGTAATATTAACAATGCAGCTGCAACTACAACTACAAGCACAACCATTACATCAACGTCAAACAACTATTATTTTTCGGAAAGAAGTGTTAATAGTAATAAATCTCCAGGTGACATTGATCCAATAGAAATATTGTTACAAATTCCAAATTTAATTGCAATTAAAAAATTATCCTATTTTTATACAAATTGGGTATTCTATACATCTGAAATTTTAAATATTTTAAACAATTGGGAAGCTCCATGTTTAGAATTTAGTTATTGGTGTGCTGAAAATTTGTTAGAATTACATGAAAAAATGTTTATAAATTATTATCAAGAAAGAATTAATAGAAACTTAAATGAAGATAAAATAAAGAAAATGAATTTTATGATTAAGAGTATTGTTTATTGGGATTTACGAAGATTATGTTTAGTAGTAGTTAAATTTATATAAATAAATTTTTTTTTAGATTATTAGAAAATAATAAAGAATAGGATTTTCTTTATAGTAATAGTGAATTTTACCTTAATGACTTTTTTTATTTCTTTATAATAAATTTGTTTCTTATAATGGACTTATTATTATTAATTATTGGGGGTCGATAGGGTCCCACAAACTATATATATATATATTGAGCAAACAGGAGAGATAGGGATGGGAACGGTTCAACCCAATCCAGTTCAACCGGCGGTTCGAAACCGAACCGATGCGGTTTGGTTTACACATTTCAAACCGCGGTTTAATCAACCGCGGTTAAACCCCAGTTCAAACCCCGGTTCAGTGGTCCTGACCAATAAAAATTAACTACGTTTATTTTAATTTTTTTTTAGAATATTCCTTAAAAAATATTTTTTTTGCAAGAATGTCAATTGACGAAAGAATTGATAATGCTGCACTTTCACCTACTTCAATCATTCAAATTTTTGATAATGATACTAATAATAGTTCATCAATCATCCAAATTCCTGATATCAATAATTCAATTCAAATACATGACATTATGCTTGTACCTTCCATTTCATCATCATCATCATCGTCATCATCATCATTACCATCATCATTATCATCATCATCATCATCATTATCATCATCATCATCAATTGTTCAAATTCCTAATAATTCACAAATAATTAGAACTACTTCAAAAGTAGATGAATATTTTACAAGAAATAATGAAATTCAGAAGTGTCGTGTTTGTGCAGCTACATATAGTGGAATTGGGAAAACCTCAACTGGTACTTTAAAAAATCACATCAAAACCAAACATCCAAATGAATATCAAAGATGTGTTCAAACAACTTTAAATTTTCAACGAATTAACCCATATCCCCCCAAAGAAAATTTTATGAAAACTAAAGTTATGATCAATTGGATAATTATGAATATGCAACCTTTTTCTATTGTAGAGGATAATTTTTTTATAGAAATGATTAAGAAATTCAATCCACCTTACCAAATGCCATGTCGTAAATACATTAAAAATCAAATTGTCAAAAAATTCACGAAACAACGACAACATGTTAAAAACCATATTCAAGATGTAAAAAATAAAATATCATTAACATTGGATATTTGGACATCTGAAAATTCTCACACATCATTTCTTGGGGTTACTTGTCACTATATCAATGATGAATGGAAACTGAA